TGTCTCAACAAACAAACAAACAAACCAAATGGGGGGGCATATTTGGAACTTTGACTTTTAAACTGATCCAGCCCACAAAAGGAACTTCACCATTTGTGAAAGTCTTCCTTTTACGTGTCTTTTTTACTTTCAAATAAATGTTTAGCAAGCAAAACTACATTTTATGGTTCAGTGACACTAAAAGAAGAATACTTTGCAGCTGTGGAGTTTTTTCTTTCTGTTCTTTTTCCTTTTTCCTGTTTCCAAGGCACAGGGGTTGGTGGGAGAGATGTCTGAAGGCAAGACAATCAGAAACAGAGGTTGGCCAGCTGTTTGCTCATTTCTGTCTATGTTAAATCATCTGCTATGCATATAGGGAACACGTGTCAGTTGATTAATGGGCCAGAGTATTGATTTTATATTTTCAGATTGCTAACAGAGGAGATTAAGCTCTGGACACAAACAGTTCCAAAGTCTCTGCAGAGAGACACATAAAGTAACCGTACAGTTCACTGAGGTTAGAGTTCTGTGCTGTGATTACAAGACTCCCCATTTGTTATTTAAGAGAAATTTGGGGCTATTGTGTATGTACTTACCACCAGCCTTAGAGTCAGTTGACCTTAGTTCTAGGCTTGGCCCTTCTACTCTGTAATAGTGGATCCAGTGATAAGGCTTATTTTAAGGAATCTTGAAAAACTATGCAAATTTCAGGAGTTACAGATTAACTGTGAAATATATACACTTTTTTTGAACCAGGGATCAAACTCAGGTCCTTGTGCTTGCGACAACTAAATATATTTTGAAACATTAAAGTAATCAAAATAGTATGCTGCCATTCTCATTGCATGTTAATAATAATTATGATACATTGTATGTGCAAAAATCAACTTACCAACCAGAATTACAGAGTAATCCTTTTTCTCTAATAATACTCCCAAATAAATACCAAATACCACATTATATATGTATGTATTTTGTTTAAAAATGACATTTTTTGCCTAGGAAGGATAGACTAAATATTATATATTCAGTATCTAATGATAGATTGCTAAGGTATAAAGTTAGAGCTCTGGTTTTGCTTCTTGTGGGCTTTATTTATTTATACTCTATTTGCTCTGTGTTTTTATTGGTAGTATTGGGTATTTTGAGAACTCTTATAATGGATCTTTTTATATGGGATGGCAATGAATATTTGACCACAGGTGGTTTTCATTTTTTTGGTGTGAGGCATGTGTGTTGACAGCCTTTGAAAGTTTAATGCTGTGTAATATGCAGGTGCTTTTATTGTTTATAGATATGCCTAATCCTTGTTTGAAATGTATTAAATAGTGTACCATCTGCAAGCCTCCCCAAATTCCATAGATTAATTAGCCTTTAAAGAAAGCTTGCCTTTTATCTAACTTTTAGAGTAAACTCTTCCATCTGGGAACCTTCTCTTTTATGTGCTTGTTCAATGTTCTGTGTACCTCAGCACTCCAGTATTAATCATGGACCCTGGAATTCTCAGTAACAATGAGGATGACTGAAAGTAACACTAGACTGCACAAAGCGGTATTGTCCAGAGAGTAGTTTGAAATTGGTCAATAATCCATCATAGCTTTGTCACTGCTGCATGTGTGTGTGTGTGTGTAACATTACTGAAGAGTTGGATAGCTGTTTTTCAGGGCAGTTTTATAGATGGTAGTTATATAGCATTGGCATTCTTGTGGAATTTTAGTTAAAAAAAGAAAACCCAGCCAGGTATGGTGGCACACACCTGTATCCCAGCACTCTGAGAAGGGGAGGCAAAAGGACTGCAAGTGTGGGTCCAACTCAGGCAATTTAGCAAGACCTTGACTCCAAATGAAAAACAAAAAGAGCTGAGTGTGAAGGCCTTCATTTCAATCCCCAGTCTTCCTCAATGAAAGAAAAAGAAAAAGACCCACACTTTTTGTGACATCTTATATATCATTTCTTTTTCTTTTGGGTTATGACTGAAAGACTGTTGACAGTGCTTGGTGCTGAGAGGCTGCTTAATGGGTTTTGGCATCCCTCTTTCTAGAAATGTAGTATTTGGATAAATATTATGATGTTATTTAAAAAGAAATTGATATGAAATTCACTGTTTAGTGATGGATTATGTAATAACTTATAGTAAATGTTTATTTTTAAAAATTCTATTACAAAATATATAGAGGTCATTAATTTAGACTGTATTTAATCAAATTTATATTATTATTTGGTGCTTTTTATGGACTTACTTTTGCTATCTCTTCTCCTTGCCTAAAAATTTTACACTAATGCTGCAGTAGTGTGTTTTATAAGTTAGAGAACTTAAAAATAATTTTGTTCACTGAGGGTTTTTTTATTTTATTTTATTTTTTAGACTGGCTCTCACTACTTCATTAAGTTGCCAAGGCTGGTCTTGAACTTGTGATCATCCTGCTTCAGCCTCCCATAGTGCTGTCCAACTCAGGCAATTTAGCAAGACCTTGACTCCAAATGAAAAACAAAAAGAGCTGAGTGTGAAGGCCTTCATTTCAATCCCCAGTCTTCCTCAATGAAAGAAAAAGAAAAAGACCCACACTTTTTGTGACATCTTATATATCATTTCTTTTTCTTTTGGGTTATGACTGAAAGACTGTTGACAGTGCTTGGTGCTGAGAGGCTGCTTAATGGGTTTTGGCATCCCTCTTTCTAGAAATGTAGTATTTGGATAAATATTATGATGTTATTTAAAAAGAAATTGATATGAAATTCACTGTTTAGTGATGGATTATGTAATAACTTATAGTAAATGTTTATTTTTAAAAATTCTATTACAAAATATATAGAGGTCATTAATTTAGACTGTATTTAATCAAATTTATATTATTATTTGGTGCTTTTTATGGACTTACTTTTGCTATCTCTTCTCCTTGCCTAAAAATTTTACACTAATGCTGCAGTAGTGTGTTTTATAAGTTAGAGAACTTAAAAATAATTTTGTTCACTGAGGGTTTTTTTATTTTATTTTATTTTTTTTAGACAGGGTCTCACTATATAGTGAGACTGACCTGGAACTCACTATGTAGCCCAGGCTGGTCTGAAACTCACAGCGATCCTCCTGCCTCAGCCTCCCGAGTGCTGGGATTACAGGCATGCGCCACCAAACCTTGCTGCTCACTGAGTTTTGATGATAGTAGATACTGTGAATATTAAACAAAAAGATAGTATCAGACACGGTTTTGGGTTTCAAGATCTAAAGTCTAGGTGGAGAGAAAGTTAACTTCTTGAAACAATTGTCACCATTAGAGTATTCGGGTATGTGTTCCACATTATAAGAGCATATGATGATCAGAGAAATAAAATCAGATAAGAACAATTAGAATTTGGAGGGGTCTTAGAATGAGGTTAGTGGAGGAGATGGGGATAAACCTTATAAAAGAGAAATAAGTTAGACATTTAGAAGTGATAGAGAAGCTTTAAATAGGGTCACAATATAACTTGAATAGTTGTGGATTTAGGGCAGAAGTGTGGTGATTATTGACAGTTAAAAGTGGGTAGCTAGGATGTATGACCACCTTATCTTTGCAGTGGAACATTAAGATAAAAAATTAGTGGAAGAAGTTACGTTTGAAATGGTAGATATGATGAGTTGGAAAACAACTGGAACAGTTAAGAGTGTTATAGTGGTCCATAGATGAATTAATGAGTGCTTATATTCAGAAGATGACAGTGAGAATAGAGAACAAGGAATAATTGAGACATTTTCATTGAAGAAAACTGATGAAATATATGTATATACAGATATATATATATTTATACATATATACATATATACATACAGATACATATATATATATATATATATATATATATGTATATACCCTCATATTTAGTGAGGGTTTGAGAAAGGGAGTGAATATAGGGAATGAAAGAAAAACAATAATGATCACTTCTTTTCCTTTACATCCTGAGAGATACTAAGTATTGATAGAAGATGTATATATTTTTTAAAAATTAGGTAGAGGGAGATGTGTTCAATTTAGACATGCTGAATTTGAAGTGATAAGTGCTTTACAAGCAGAAGTGGCTTATATAAGTAACTGGTTGGATATGTGGTTCTGGAGCATAGTCAGTGTAGGGCCAGAGATGCTGATTAAAGGTGGATGGCCTTCCATGCCTGTGGGTATTGCGTTGGATTCAGCAACTGAATAGAAAATATGTGAAAAAATTACATCGGTACTATACATATATAGGCTATTTTCCTTGATAATCCCTGAACAATTCAGTATAAAATATTTACATAGCATTTACATTGTATTAGATAGTATAAGTAATCTTGGGATGAGTTAGTGTATATAGGAAGATATGAGTAGATTATATGCAAACACTAAGAAGGCATTTGTAGAAGGGGCTGCACATCTGCAGATTTTAGTCTGTGGAAAGTCTAGACCTTTTCCCCATAAATATTGAGGGATGGCTCTGTATACAGATATTCTCTCTCCCCCTGCCTCTAGTACTGGAGACCAAACTTGACCTTGCCAGGCATGGTGCTACTGAAGTACATCCACAGCGCTACATAGATGTTATTATTACTATATTTTTTTGGTACTGGGGATTGAACTCAGGACCTTGAGCTTGCAAGGCAGGCAGTAGCACCACTGAGCTAAATCCCTGGCCCCCTATACAGATATTATTATTCTTTTTTTTTTTTTTTTTTGTACCAGGAATCAAACTCAGGTCCTTGTGCTTGCGAGGCAGGTGGCGGAACCACTGAGCCAAATTCCTGGCCCTACAGATATTATTGGAGGCACGTTCTGAGGAAATTTCTAAGGGGAAAACTGGGAGATCAATAAATAAGCTTCAGAAAACACCAGAAGAAAGGATTTCACAGTTAGGTTGATTTTTATGAATTTACTTAGCAGTCTATTTTAAAACCTGTTTTGATACAGTTGTAACCTATTTGTTTAAAAATACCTGTGAAAGTCAGTATATTTTGATCTCTTTTGATCTGATTCTGTAGCCATAGTATTCTGATTTATTGCATCTTTTTGTAGATTGCTGTGCTAAGAAGACAGCAACGTATGATAAAGAATCGAGAGTCTGCTTGTCAGTCACGCAAGAAGAAGAAAGAATATATGCTAGGGCTGGAGGCAAGATTAAAGGCTGCTCTTTCAGAGAATGAGCAACTGAAGAAAGAGAATGGATCGTTGAAACGGCAGCTAGATGAAGTTGTATCAGAGGTGAGTGCTAGTGATGGAGCTGGCTGAGATGGGTTAGAGTTTTTTTTCTAAATAATAATTTGATAAATTTATATATCTTAAATTGCATAAAACAACAGTGCTAGCAAAATGAGGGTAGAGTTAAGTCTGAAAACATTTGTACTAATGATAAAACAATTTGAAAGGACCTTTTAAAGTGTACCTCCCAATCTATACAAAAGACATCTTTTCTTGGGTTTCTCCCAACTGTACCTTAGCACCCTCTTTTCTGACTAAGTCATATTAAGGCTCCTGAATAATCCTCAGGTCTTCCCTTTTATAAAAGAGAGTAATGCAAAAGAAAAATATGTTATTATCTTTCCTCCTTCCACCTGTTCATTGTTATGTTTTTTGCATTCTGTTGCCAATGCTGATCTTGAAAAGATCAACTTCAGTTCTGTTCATGAACCCTTCTGCTTTCAGCATTTCCACTCCCGACCGTACTGAACCAAATGGATGCCAATTAAACACAGGGGAGTACTCCAGTGGGTTGCTGGAAACAGTGACTTCGAAGACAGTGAAGTAACTCATACACGTGCTTAAATATTATATAGCTTCTCTTAGATGAGAAACCCAAAATATAAAAAAAGAGCAAAGTAAAAGTAAAAGTAAAAGTAGGAAGTAGGAAAATAGATCTTTCTCATATGGGAAGGGGATCAAGAGATGAAGGGAAGAGGGAGGCAGGGGAGGAAAGGGGAGGAAAAAAGAATTAAGATGTGTTATGTACAGATACCATCTCCTCGTGAGAAACATAAACATTATGTACTGCAAACATGTACTAATAAAAATATGTAAACTGAAAAAAAGACAGGGAAACAAACAATAAAGAGGTGATCAAAATAATGTTTAAATTTAAAAATTATAGTTAAAGACTCATTGCCATTAATTCCCTTGAAATACTTCCCCTCACTTCCATCACAGATCTCTCATCATTTTTGCCATTTTCTGGAGGAGTTCTGAAAGTCCTGTTTCACGAGTGGCTTTACAAAGTGTGTTAAAAAATATGGTGACTGCTGCTGCTAAGTACCATCCAACAAAAAGGCAGGCTGATGAAAACATTATAGTGTGTCCTCACTCATTGGCTCCGGCACTGTATGAGCTGTGGCTCTTCCCCAAAGTCAGATGACATTTTTAATTGATTCAGGACCTCGAGGTAGCTGCGACAACGCAGTGAAAGAGGGCTTTCAGAACCTCTTCAGAAAATGGCAAGAATGATGGGATCAGTGTGTTGGAAATGATCAGGAGTGTTTTGAAGGAGATTAATAGCAATGTGTCTTTTACTTTGTTTTTTAAACACTTGCTGTATTTTTCAACCATACCTTGTGTCTCAGAATTCTTTAGAGATCCATAAAAATATAGAACTGTTAAATTGTCTGCTGTATATTTTTCTTTTCTATTGTTTTTTCTTGTGCTTCTTTTACTGGAAAGGAAAACTTGGAAGGCTCCTCTCTAGTCTTTTGGAAAGTATTACTTTTTCACCTTTGAGGTTTTTTTTGTTTTAAAGAAAAATATATTTTTTTGTTTTGTTTTTGTTTTGTGTTTTTGAGACAGGATCTTGCTATGTAGTTGAGACTGACTTGGAACTCACTATGTAGTCCAGGCTGGTCTTGAACTCACAGTGATCCTCCTGCCTCAGCCTCCCGAGTGCTGGGATTATAGGTGTGTGCCACCATGCCCAGCTCTTCAAGAAAAATATTTATGTAATTGGTAAAGAGAATTCTTTTTTTAGTTTTGGTACTGGGAATCGAACTCAGGACCTTTTGCTTGCAAGGCAGGCAGTGGAACCACTGAGCTAAATTCCAGGCCCAAAGAGAATTCTTATTTTAGATGTTGCTTTTTGTGAGGTTGATGTGTAGTTTAATTATACCTCATATGGTTATGTCCTTTAGAACCAGAGGCTTAAAGTCCCCAGTCCAAAGCGAAGAGCTGTCTGTGTGATGATAGTCTTGGCACTTATAATACTGAACTATAGACCTATGAGGTAAGTGTATAGCTGTTTGTTTTGCATAGTGATGTTAATTAATTAATTTATTTTTTTGGGTACTGGGGATTGAACTCGGGTCCTTGTGCTTGTGAGGCAGGCAGCTGCACCACTGAGCTAAATCCCCAGCCCATGATGTTAAATATTTTAATACTTATTATTTATTATTCTTTAGTTCTGGTCATGAGCTAGAGGAAAACTGATTTGTTTTGAATGGCATCAGCATCCTAGGTATATAAAGAATAATTGGACAGCCTATACCTTCAATGATTTCTTGATCCAGCTGGGAAGAGAGACTATCATGTCTTTTTACATAAGGATATGCTATAATGTGCTAAGTGTGATAATAGCAATATGGACAAGGTACTGAAAGAATATAAATGAATGTATGAGTTTCTTAATGTAATAGTTCATGTCTTATTGACAGGTGCACAACATATTTTTTTGCTGAATGAGTGATAAAAAGAATTCCCACTGAGGAATCTGAACCTTGAAATATATTATTGTGTGGTGTGTGTGTGTTATTGGGGATTGAATCCAAGCCTTTTTATTTTTTATTTTGAGATAAGTTCTATTTAAATTGCCCAGACTGGCTTCAAACTTAAAATTTCCTGCCTCAGCCTCCCAGAGTATTGAGATTACAGATATGCGCCATCATGCCCAGTCTATGATATTAATTTGTAGAGTAGAAATGCATGTCAAACAGAGGGAACATCATGTTTAAAGGTGCTATTATAAAATCTCATGGCATTTTCAGAAAACAAATGAAAGGTTCAGTGTATCTTACACTTGATCTTAGCCAAAAGGTGGAGAAGCGATGACTCAATGTATCGTATACATATGAGGAATATGTATGAAGCTAAATATATGGCCAGATATATGTGGGACGAGATAATGAAGGGCCTCAGCTGCTGTTTTGTACAAGGAGGCATCCCTATGTTTTTGGCCAGGGCTAACGTAATTAGCTTTGCATGTTAGGAAGATGACTTTGAGGAGTGTATTGAGCATTGACTGGACTGAGGAAAGGCTATTGGCAGAGGCAGCATTAAAGCTGTAGATGTCTTTCATGTAATAGACGATGAGAATCTCAAGTTGGGCTACATTCTGACATGGAGTATGGGATTTAATTATCTAATATTGTGACATAAGGAAAAGAGGGCAATTAAAGATAATTCCGAAATTTCCATCTTGAGGGACTGATTGGTGATACTATGTATTTGAGGTAGCAAACAGAATATGGATAGTTTTGTGATGAATGACAATGGAGAGGTGAAAGAATGGCTTTCTGAAGCCAATTTCAGGAGTTTCAAGATGGTCTCGGACAGTGGTATCATAGGCTACTGAGAGCTTCCGAGAGGCAGAAAGCTGAGTTCAGTGATTAGCATATCAGTGGTGATCGTGAGCAAATATTTATTAGGGATGGAAATGGGGTGTATATTAAAGTTGGTTGAGAAATCAGAGAGGTTGTAAATTGAATAATGTCTTTTGTTAATAAACTTTTGTTGTAAAGATTTTCAAGCTGTGAAAAACTAAACAAAATAGTGTAAGGAACCCACTTGTACCCATCATCCTGCTTCAATAATTATCAACATTGTACTAGTTTTGCTGAAAAGAGTTTAGGAAGTAGACACAGTGAGGACGGATTATTCTTTTAAGGACTTAGGGGGAAATAGACAGAAGAAAATCAGCAGATGATTGTTTAGCTTTTGGATAATATTTCAATGAAATGTATTTCTAACAATTTTTCATTGTTTTGAAAATAGTTGTATTGCTTTGTTTTTCTCTTTTCCTCTTGGCCCTACCCTCAGGCTTAACATCCAGATTTCTTTACCTATTTGTAAAATGGTGGTTTTCAAATCCTTTCCCTGGCTCTCTTTCTCTCTGCTGAACACAATTTCCTTCACTTCCTTCAACCTGAGCCTCTTCAGTGTTTTGGGCTTTATGCTCGGCACTCTTCAGGTACACAGCAGAAGGTGGTGTCTTGATTGGAACATGTTTCCTCAGATACATTCTGACCCAACTAGGATGCGGTGAACTCTTACTTCCTAAAGTAAGAGTTTTCATGCATCCTAAGATTGTGTTAGCTCTTTGTAATTTTAGGTAAAATTGTATTTGTTACATTTGATTCACATTAGGTCATTCTTTGTCTTTTTTTTTTTCCTGTATAAGTGGTTTCTTAAAAAACAATTATTTTTTACAGTACTAGGAATTGAACCCAGAACGTTTGCATTGAGTTGCATCCCCAGTTCTTTTTGATTTTTATTTTGAGATGGGGTTTTGCTACGCTGCTAAATTGCCCAGGCTGAACTTAAACATGTGATCCTTTGGCCCCAGCTTCCCAGAGTGGCAGGCATGTACCACCACAGCCAGCTAAATATGTGTAGATTTTTATATTAAAGTTTTGTTATCATTTGGTATTAGCACAGCTCTCCAGAGCATTTAATATTCTATTGTAAAATCCCATTGACCGATATACCTTTATTTAGTATATTAAGAAAATTTAGTGGATAAAGTTTATAATTCTGAGTTGATCTATTTTTGAAAGTTCACACTATTTTAGACATGTCACATAAAATATGCAGAAGAGATAGCTGAATAGGCATTTGAATTACTAAAATATTTTTGCTATTTTTCATTAAAAATGACATTTTGACCATATTCATATTAATGTTATTTTTACATTTTAGTTTTTGTGTTTGAGGAATAGCACTTCTATTATTCATAAAGGGCTATCTTTTGATTAATGAAGGATAAAAGAGAAATGATAATGTAAACTTTATTTTCCTAACATAGGAACATGAAAATAATACATTCATGAGACTGAGTCTTTCTTTTTTTGGGAGGGTGATACCAGGGATTGAACCCAGAGCCTGGCACATGTGGTAGACAGTGCTCTACCACTAAGCTACATCCGCAGCACATTTATAAAAAAGTTTTATTTTGAGATAAGGTCTCACTAAGTTGCCTAGGGTGGCCTTGAACTTGCAATCCTCCTGCCTCAAGTAGTTGGTATTACAGTTGTGTGCCACTATGCCATGCTTACCAAATGCAGAGTCACCAGCAAGGCTCAAAATGAAGTATTGCTTTTTTTTTTTTGACATTTTACCTGTGTCTATTTAATAGATTTATCAGAAACAAATGCACATATATATGTATAAGTATAGCTATGCCAGCAAAGATTTAGAAGACATAAAGTATGTAGCAGGGACTGGGGAAGACATGATTCTATCTGAGAATGGGAGATGCACTTTAATCAAATACCAGCTATAGCGTCACTAGTTCATTCTTTTCAAAATATACCCTCTATTGCTATGTTTATTGGCTCCTTCTACCTCTGTTTTTTGTATGAAGGATATGCAAAACCAAGAGAATAAAGGGCAGTTGTCATGATACGTGGAAAGCTCCAAAGGTAAAAATTTCACTTTCACTTCATCATACAGTGCTGGACAATTGAATATATTAATTATTACTCTGTCTCATTGAATGTTAAATACCATATAATTTGTGGAAAAACAGGAAAAGACAGCCTCCTGCTACATTACTATATGCACCTTTAGATCACTTCCATTGCCTTTACCAACTTCATGAATTGAATAAATAATGAATTTTTTTATTATGAGTATTTTTCTTGGAGGAGAGTCCTGTTGTATAAAGTCATCAGTTTTTCAAAATATCCAACATATCTATCCTGAGAGGAAGCTTCTATCCGTTGAAATTTAGTGCTGCTGGTTTTATCTGTTCATCGTTCCCCAAAACAATAAGTGCTCTCCTTCGCAGTTAAAAACAATCTATGGGTAATAAGGTAGGCGCAAACCATAGTTCCAGTTCTTCCTTTGCCTCCCTTACAGTGAACTGCAACAACGTTTTCCTTACCTTGAGCCATCCATTCTTCTGCTTCCTTGGTGAGCAAAAACATTTTCTTCAGAGTGGGAACATTGTGATCATCAATCTTGATTTGATGGGCTGTATAATGGAAGTACTTAGGATCATAAGCTCTTTCACTGCACAGATTATAGACTTGGTGATGGTCTGAATGCTTGGTATCTAGGAACTGGTGCCTCTTCTTTTTTCATAATCTCTATTAACTCCTGCTTGTCATTTTATTTGTATGAAATCAACTTCTTAGCTTCAAAGTCTTTTTTATATTATGGATTTTTTTTAGTGACATCTTTTCCTTGACTTTCCTCCACAGCCATTGTGGAAAATAGAGCTATAGTTTTTAATTATCATTTTATATTTAAATACTAGCTTTTAAAGATGACTGTTAGTAATTCAACCCTGAAGCTTCTTTTCTTTTTCCAGGCACTGCTACTTTTTCTTTTTAGTGTATCTTTACATCTTTGCTTATTTTTAATTACCAGAGTAGCAGATTAAAGTAGAATAATGATTACTAAGATTGGGAAGGGAGAGGGAGCAAAGTAAAAAAAAGGATGGTTGGATTTAATCAGTGTATACATATGTATGTATGGAAACATCACCAAATTTTTCAGAAACTATAGAACTATGTAGAGTAGAAAGTAATAAACTTACATCCCACCTTCTTCTTAGCCATCTCTCTACTTCTTGTGTGTGTGTGTGTGTGTGTGTGTGTGTGTGTGTGTGTGTGAGACAGGGTCTTGCTATGTAGTTCAGGCTGGTCTTGAACTCACTGTGTAGTCCAGGCTGGCGTCAAACTCACGGTGATCCTCCTGCCTTAACCTCCCAAGTGCTGAAATTACAGGTGTGTGCCACCATGCCTGGCTCCTTCTATTCTTTTATTTATTTATTTTTTGGTACCAGGGATTGAACTCAGGTCCTTGTGCTTGTGAGGCAGGTGGTGGCACCACTGAGCTAAATGTCTGGATCTTCTATTTTTTATAAGTAATTTTTCCAGATTTCCAAGCATATTACTTTACTAATTCAGTCAGAATATATTTATTGAATATTTACTGAGTATTAGATATAATGTGAGACCAATAATACAGCTGTTAGCAAAACTAACCTAGCCCCTGCTGTAGTGG